CCAATCAAAAACGCTACACGAAGCTCTGTGGAGCTATGTCGTCAGTATAAGTTGGTAAGTTGAATCTCAAACGTGTTCCTTGTCTGGGAAGAACTTGATTCAAACGGAAGGGAGCTGTCTGTTTAGTTAACTGTTTAGTTAACTAAAAAAAAGTGAAATTGTTCAATTTCTTTTGCAACTTAATTTACCGTGGTAGTGGGGCGGTGATGATCACAATGTGCGTGAAACTCCTTTTGCAAGAGTCAAGTTAGTATCACGCCGAAAGAAAAGAAACTCGACATGCACATGCAATTTATTTTTAGTTAGAAAGTTCGAAAAATTCCAGAATGATTGTCGCTTATAATGGAGCAAGGGTGATTAAAGATTGGAGGAAATTTCAGTCGAGTAATCTTCCTTGTGGAATCGGGTCGTAATTTCCAACTCGTTATGCTCCTATCAACATTTCTCGACTTTGGCTCATAATCTGCAAATCAACTAATGCTGAAGCTTACAGTTTGGGAAAAGTTCGACAGATAATTTACTTACGACAGTTAGTCAACCTCGATCCCAGGCTCGAGCCTCGATCTCAGGCTCGTTTGTTAATCTCCATCCCAGGCTCTCTCTCATTTGCCCTCGTCGTTGAGCCTGGGATCGAGGTTGCGTTAGGAAACGACAGGTAGACAGGTCAGCTATTGCCAAAGCACAATTATCAGAGAGTCAGTGTAGGAAGGCAGAGTCCATGCAGATACGAGTTAGTATTCCATGTCCTGGTACTGACCCGTGTTATCGTTTGATATCACAGATCTCAGATGCGCCGGCAAAAAGTACCTAAGACAGACGTCAACATTTTAGTGCCTTCCGTCACTAAGGAGCTTATGGAGAAATGAAATACGCCGTCGCTCACTTCTTGTTTCACGAGTCCTTAAAAACGCTTTGTAAATAAATAAAGATTGCTTGGATAATATTTTGAGCTTTTTAGTTGTATATTGTTTGTGATATGTTTCACACTCTTTTATCTATTTAAAAAATGACTCGAAAGATTCGGAGTGTTAGCGTCAGCTGTCGAACTCTTCGGAGATCTCCCGAGTTCTTCGAAGGCTGTCAAGTCGTCGTTTGCGAAGCATCTTCTTGCTGATGCGAAAAACAAGAAGTCATCTGTGTTTTTTTCTTTTCTTTTCTTTTTTCTGCTGGCTTGTTGGTTCGCCGGACGAGGAACATCATGACAAACACTATAGTAGCACTCGATTCTTTTGCAGGCACTACTTCCACCACCCCCAGTGGGGAGGGCGTGGGGGCGGGGGGCTCCCATGTGAAAAGGTCACGGATTGTTTGTCGGAAAATTTTAAATAAACCCCTAAAGGAGAGGAACCTGGGCAATTTAACACTCGAGTTTTATTGACCCCCNCCCCCAAAAAAAAAAACATTAAGTTGAATACCACTTTGAAACGGACAGCGATTTGTTTTTAATTATTTCCAAAAGATACCTTGACGGCTAAAAATAGTGGCGTTTCGTCCTGAACACTCTACGTAACACTAAACTGTTCGCAGCCTCTGTATTTTTCAACGCACGCGGAAGAAAAACCGAACGAAGCGAGTGCGAAGTACGCGGGTGCGGGCGCGGGCGCGGGGAGGCGAGCGAAGCGTTGGCGTCCAGTTCTCTCGCGATTCTATTTGCGCGTTCAACGATCGAATAAAAATACGAGTAAGTAGAGGGCTGTGAAGATTCTAAAGTAACACCAGAATTCGTGGTTTACAGCTCCAACTGGCACTAGGCAGGTACATTCATGACTGAACTGGGGTTTATAAGGGACTCGGTCTACCAGGCGGGAAGAAGAGATTCCCTGGATACGACAGCAACAATTTATTGGTATCCCCTTATATATGGTGGTATTACCTTAAATAACAATATATAAAATATATAAAAAGAAAGAAATTAAAGATAACAATACCACTAATCACATTAAATTAAATAGGATTACAACTTTCTCTTATATGCAATGCTTTATATACAAAATAACCTAGTTTCTTAAAAATAAACGAATCAACATTATTAAATAGGAATAGAGTTTTATCGGTATTGTTCAAAAGATCGACTGATGGGTATTTTAGTACAATGTCACTTGTTATTTGTTGCCCAATAGTTTTATAACGATCACAATGAAATAAGAAATGGTTTTCGTCGTCAAGTTGGTTAGAGCGGCAGTATTGCTGGTTTTCAGTGTCACGCAATTCAAAATAGATCAAAATAAAAATCAAAACCGGTCAATAGATAAAGTCCAGAATCTGGGAAATGAAAGA